ACTGGTTGTTGAGAGTTTGTGCAAGTTGACCATGCAAAGATGACATCGGCATCATAAGTCTTTGTACACTTACTGTTGGTCTCTTTCAGTTTGTCAGGTTTATAATTATTCTGCCCTGTCTTATGACCAGACTGTCAGAGCATTCTCTCTTTGTATAAACTTTGCATAGAGCACACACACGCACACACATACACACACACACACACACACACACACACACACACACACACACATACAGGAGGGGGGCAGAGAGGGAGAGAGAGAGAATAAATAATAAATACAAAACAAAACAAAGACAAAAACATCCCACACATCCTCTGGACTTCACTTGTTAGCCATTGATTTAGAAGCAAAAATACCTAATAAACTGGTTTTGCTCTGTCATAGCTAGCCAGTTACACGACCAGGAACATACATTATTTTCCTTGTTATATTAGCATTGAAATAATCCAATAACAAGTATAATTATTTTTAAATCTAAGTAGAGTCATGGACTCTAAACAAGCCTTTGGTGAAGCCTTCTTTGGGATGTAATGAGCCTTGGGAACACACATTCCTCTTCATGTTTATCCTGGGTGCAAGAAAAACCGTATTTTGCTGATGTTCAGATACAAAAGTGGAACTGTGTCAAGACAAATTGAAGAGGAAGCTTTTCTTTTTGGCTGGAGATGTCACATGAGGGTTATAAAGCGGGTGCGGTTAATGATAACCATATGGTGCGTATTAAAACATTCAGGCAGAGTTGAGCATTTGAATTCCTTCCTGAGAGTGAAGGTTTACAGGCTGAAGTACATTGGTTGTAGGATTTGAGGGTCCTAGGGACAGACAAAGTAGCAAAGCAGACAAAGGTGTTAGTCCTTGGTTTGTCTAGACTTTCTCTCAAAGGAGTTACCATGGCTTCTCTTTTCCTTTATTGAACTTTGATGTGAGAACTTACCTGACCGAACAAAAAAACAGTTTTGCAAGCCTGGCTTCCTCCTGCTCATCCTTGACTTAAAAGGTCTACTTTTACTTTTTTTGTGATCAGAGGGAAAGACAGACAAAAATCCCCCTCCCCTCCTCCCTTCCCCATCCCTCCTCACCCCTCCCCTCCCCTCTGTTCTTCTCTCCTTTCCTGTCTGTCTCTCTGTTTCCTTCAGTCTGTCTGCCCCCCAACACTTCCCCTGTGTTTGTGTGTGTGTATGTGTGTGTGAATCATCTCTTATCTCCTTATTGATTAAAGGTAACCAGGCTCCTGTTGTCTGAAGCTGTTTTGTCAAGAGCTGTAATCACAGATTGACCTCATTGTAGGCCACAGTGTATTGACATGTGTATTTGTGTGAGACAGAGATTTATATGTAAGGGTATGCATTTGAACCTCAGAATAGTTCATTCTTTTCCATATGTAAAGTTTGGAAGTTTATTTTAATTCTGTCCTGGAAATTCATGTTCTTCCCCCCCCCATCTTTTTATTTTTAGTATTTTTTTGGTTCTTTTTCAAGACAGGGTTTCTCTGAAATTCATGTTCTTAAACCATATGATAACAACAATTTCATTTAATGCATTTCTTCACTTGGGGTAAACTAAGTTCTTTCATGGGGTTGAAGAACAGTCTCTTATATTTTTGGTTGTGAGCCTAATCTGTAATGACTGAGTCATCTCTCCAGCCCCTGAAGAAGAATCTCATATGTATTAAATGCCTAAGAGGTTCCTGGCAGGATGTCACAAATGTTACATTTACTAACTATTATACTAGTTATATTAACATATATTATATAGCAATATAGTTAATATTATTTGCCAAAATTTCAGGGTTTGCTCTTTTGGACTTTCTGGCACTTCTGTAGTCTTTAGTCTCTCTAAGCTTCTATACTTTTGGGATAGTCTCTCTCCCTTTGCTCCTACTTATTTATGGCATTTATTGTTTGTTTCTCTCAGAACAGAAATCAACTTGATCTTTTTCTGCATTGAAGCCCTGGAGGCATGTAGAGACATGTAGTAGATTGTTTCCTAAGAGGAAAAGATTAATTTGTATTCATGTATATGTGTGTATTTGTGTGAGGGTATTCCACATGTGTGTGGTGTACACACAAAGGCCAGAATAAGGGTATGGGTGCTCTGGAACTGGAGTTATGGTTGGTTATATGCTGTCCAATATGGGTGCTGGAAGCCAGGCTTAGGTCTTCTGGAAAAGCAGAGAGTGCGTTTTAGCCAGGGGAATCATCTCTCCATCCCCTTGACTGGCTTTAAATGCTGTGAACACTTTACCACTTTCCTCCTCATTCCCAAATGAGACTGTTTTGGGGTTTTTCTCACTCATATCTTAAGTTCTTGCCAGTTGCAAATAGCAGGAGGTGAAAGCCAGCAAGCATTCCCTGTGTAGTACTTCATAAATGGCATGGTTTAGAGAACTTGTAGACCAAGGCCATATGTGTGGTCATGCCAAAGGAAATGAGCCCTGTTTATCAGTGGAGAATCTGTAGTGCTTTCTACTTTGGAAATGTGCATGCATAGTTGCGGAGTAGAATAGTAGAGAAGGTTTCTGACTCTGAGTCTGATAAATGTGGAATAAATCTTAAATCTTCCCAATGCCCAAGTAATATGTGACTTAAGAAAGTTTCTATATATCTTCCCTCATAAAGACACAGCATTCTTTACAGTCTTACTAGGAATGTTGATTATCTAATGCATATGACTGTGTTAGTTCCTTTCTCATAAAGACACAGCATTCTTTACAGTCTTACTAGAAATGTTGATTATCTAATGCATATGACTGTGTTAGTTCCTTTCTTGGCCCACAGTAAATGCTTAGTAAATATTACCTATAAGTATTTGCTTTATGCACAAATTTAAGTATTTCCTGGGCTCAGTTTTTAGTACAATTTATAATGAATCTATTTTGGGAAAATGTGTTTATATAATAACACTTTTAAAGTTTACATGTGGGACTCCATATTATTTTATTTTCATTGATTTATAGTAAAATAATAAGATTTATTATGTGCTCTTCATAGTGCCATGTGGAACACTGAGTTTTACTTAAGCGTTGTAGCAAGAAACTCAGAGGGGAAAACCCCACTGGAGTTTTTAACATTAGCTAAAAATAGCAAAATACTTTCACAGAAGAAGCATTTAAAGTGAGTTGCAATTCAGTCCCTGCTGCATTGCAGATGGTCTCAGGGCATGCTGCCATGGACATGGTTTTTAGGAAGGATATAGAATGAGGGCATCCTGGGAAGGAGAACCAAGGCATGCTGGGAAGGAGAACATTCCCGCACTAGCCACACCATTAGGCATATCCAAAGCAACAGAACAGGGATTCTGGATTTCTAGATTTCAGCCATGCCTTTCACCTCTTAAACATCTGTTTGGCTTGGAAGTCCGTAACCCATTTAGTACTCAGACTGATGTGAGATCATTCAATTCTTTGATTTTCAGCATTCCTGAGTGTAAATAGCTTAACGATGTGCAAGCAATCATGTGTTTTGAAAGTCCCTGAGAAAATATTCCCATTTGTATTACCTGCCCATCATCACAAATTTAGAGATCAGCCTTGACAGAGTGTGCCAAGAATCCCTGCCAAGTGTAGTCTTCTTCAAGGGAAGGAGGCTATGCAATCTACTAGGGGGAATGTCATCAAACCTGAAAGAAAGCAGAAGTTATCAAACTCAGCTCTCACATCAAAATACGTGAATTACATCCCTCTTCAGGGCCCTTCTCCTTGGTCAGATATTATACTACAGGAAAATCTATAATAGTTATATGTGTCTTTAACACTAACAAAAGTTTATTGTCATTATTATGTTAAGGTTTAAAAGTCAGAATATTTATCCAAGCCTGGGGCGATAGTTGTAACTCTGCCTTTGGAACAGTCCTCTAGACTTTTCACGAGGCAAATACAGCTGATTTTCCCAGGACCAGATTGTGGAGACTGTGGGAATATGAAAAACTTAAAAACAAAGTGTCCATCCAGAGAGCTATCATCTTTACCAAGATATTTCAGTCTGGTATTATGTCAGCTGGTTTACATTTCATAATGTTTTTTTTCCCAATCACTAGGAGTACAAAATTTGCATCAGCTCAGTCCACACCTGCCAAGCAATGCTTTCCCTCTCTACAAAGCTTCTTATTCTCTCAGCATGAGACTGATGGCTGTAGTGACCTTGACTCAGTGTCCTTCCACTGAGTCATCTGAAAACCAACAGAGAAAGATGAACCCAAGCAGCTTTAGTTTCATCTAGTTTTAAAATTCTTTTTTTTTTTTTTTTTGGCTTGCCATTAGGTTTGGTATCAATTCAATAAAAACCCAATGTGCCAACAAAATATGTAGGGACTGTAGAGACGACCCAATGTGTAAAGCACTTGCCACACAAGCTGAGGACCAGAACTAGGATCCCCAGAACCCACAGAAAAGTCTTAGCAGGCATGGTGGCCCCTGTAATCCTAGTACTGGGGAAGCAGAGACAGAGGAGCCCAGGGCCAATGCATGCTGGCTTGATTAACCCATTAGTGAGCTCTCTGTTCAGTGGACAGACCTACCTCCATAAATAAAATAGAAAGTAAAATGGTGATGAAACAAGATACCACACACCAACCCCAGGCCTCGAAGAGCATACATTTTCATGCAAACATGCTCACGTGTCCACCCATACATATGTGTGAACATAGCTGCTCACAACACCCAAATATGCAAAAAAAATCAAAAGTGGGTAACAGTAGAATTTTGCATAGTGTAAATTCATCTTTGAATTGGCTGAAGATTTGGAATTAGTAATGGTCATTTTTATTTTAATGGTTCCTTTGTATTCTTGTGTGTCTAGAGTGTATTTCCAATTGATGTCAACATCCGTTAACCACTGTATGGTTGCTGCTTTTGGCAATGAATGATAGCTCAGTGTTTGAAAGCCAGCACTGAATCACCAAAGTTTGTCTGACGTGTAGTGTCAACACTCTTGTCTCCCCGTATCTGGCATATTTGATGTTCTGCACGATTCACCAAAGGCATTTTCTTTCTCTTACAGTCTGACAGCAATGCCAGTTTCCTACGTGCTGCCCGAGCAGGCAATCTGGACAAAGTTGTGGAGTACCTGAAGGGGGGCATTGACATCAACACCTGCAATCAGGTAAGCATAGGGGGCAGGCTTTGGCTTACAAACCGAGCAGCACCCAATATCTAGGCAGAGTCTCAGGGCCCAGGGGTATTTTCTGTTCATATTGATTTACTGAAGTATAGAAAGTTGATCTTGATGCAACCCAATTTTTACCACTTTACCAACATTTAAAGTGTCAGTGCTGGCTTTTAGAATTGCTATTGCTAGCAAAAAATAGAAAAAAAGTAAACCGAATGTCAGTATTTTCCTGTGATATGATGTGAACCACCTGATGTGGTGTATTGATTAGCCAAGAATGATATATTATAACTTGAGTTCAGGGTCATCTTCAGCTACACAGTGAGGTCAAGGCCAGCCTGGGCTACATGAGACAGTGTCTGAAAGAAACAAAAATGACACAGCAACAAAAAACTTAAAGTAACTCTTTCTTCACAATGATTTAGAAATACGGTCAATTCTGAGAATACGTAAAACTACTATATTAGTTTTACTGAAATGTTTGGATTTTTCATTAGAGAAAATTATTCATTTTTGATACTATTTGCCCCCAAGAGTGTTGATATTTTCTTGATATTTTGATGAAGATTTTTGTAGACTAGAAGACATTTGCAATCACTATAGTTTGTAAATGTTGCTGTTGTTTTGTGTGTGTGTGTGTGTGTGTGACAGTGTAATATAATAAAAAGAAAGAATTAATAACATTTATTTGAGGTAATTTCAGTATTTGATTTCCAATGATCCAGGAGTGCTTGGATGTTGTTTCTGTATCCTTCTATGCATTTGGCCCATTTAAATCTCGAGAGGCAAACTTCCTAAGCCATGTCTTATGACCCATATGGGGTTATAGAACTAAATGTGATGCTACAAAGAATTAGTAACAGGAAAAGGTTTTGGAATGTGCAACAACAAGCACTGAATTGTCATCAAATGGTAATTTGTCACCAAATGGTAATGACTGCAAGCTGTTTTGCCCAGTGCAGCGTCACTCAGCCAAGGTCCTAGACACACAACACGAGCACTTTGACCTATGAACTGTCACAGCATGCGACATCGTCGAACATGTACAAAGCCTTCTTCTCATAAAATATAATAGTTTAATTATTAAAAGAAGACTGTAATTATGCCCCCATCATTCCTCAGCATGTCAGTGTCAAACTGAATTATATTGATTTAGAATGTTTGATTTTTAAAATTGCTATATGAATTCATGACCTAAATTTCATTAAAAACAGCACTAAGTGATTTTTTGGCTTCTGATTAGGAACAGAATTTTCAATGGTTTCAGAAATGATACCAAATATACTTCTGCTGTTTTCTAATATGGACTGATGTGAAGTGACATGGTCAGAACTGGTGGTTGTAAAATCAAAGTACCTGCCAAGAGGTGGTGGCGCACGCCTTTAGTCCCAGCACTTGGGAGGCAGAGAGAGGGGGATCTCTTGAGTTTGAGGCCAGCCTGGTCTACAAAGCAAATTCCATGACAGCTATGTCCAAACAGAGAAAACTCGTCCCAAATAAATAAATAAATAAATAAACAGGTAGATCAGAATATCTATGAACTCTAAGGATCCTTATGTCAGTCAAGATTTAATTTTCATATAAAAATAGAGAAGCATTCCCTCTCAATAGTACACAGGTTTACTTTTATCTTTAATAAATGATAAAATACAAAACTGTTTAAAATTAAATCCCCTTATGTTTCATTATTAGGAAATGCTTGATTCATGTACCCATTTTTTTAATTCTACATATACTCAGAGTTCAATGCCAACTACTTGAGTGGAAAGAGGCTGAAAGTGCAGTTTAAGAGGTTTTGTTCTAGGCTACTGAAATAAGTAAATCTCTTGAATACTTTCCAAAATGCAGCCTGGTTATTTATCAACCCCCCCCAAATTATTATCTTCCTAAATGTCTATCTATTCTTCCCCAGTTGTGTCACTAAACATTTTGGAGAGTCCCATGGGAGTTGCCATATGTTACCAGGCAACCCCCATTTCCTCTAGTGGGTCTTCATCCTGTTACCAAAAGAACTTACAGACAGAGTCACACAACAGCTCTGGACAATTTTATTAGAGTTTAAAAGCAAATCACAGGGAGGAAAGCTGTAATTCCTGACAGCTGCCAGGAGGAAGTTGTTCAGAGAGAGAGAAAAGAACATATGGAGGTAAGCTGGCATGGAGGTTAGCCACGTGTTGGGCAGGCAGGGGACATTGGCAAGGAGGGGACATGGAAACGAGGGGACATTTGGAGAAAGAGAGAAGCCCAAAGAGTTTGGGGAAAGCATCCTTAGTAAAAAGAAAGAAAAAAGCAGAAAGCTAATTCAGAAAAAAGTAATTCAGAAAAATGGACCTACAAACTTGTATGGGTGGGGTTCCTGGGAAGGAATAGCACATTATTTTGTTAAAAAGATCATCATTCCTCCTGTCTATAGTGTGTCTCAAGGATGTTTGCCTTCCTGAGGGTTGGCCCCTTGGCTGGGAGAATGACCTGCCTAATTTGATTAAGTCTTAAGGAAGAAGACAATTCCATATCTCCACACAGAGGTAGATTCTGCTCTGTACTTTACCAATACTTCAGACATTAGCCGGCTGTTCACATTAGTCAGTGCTGATCCCATATGCATCTCCGGTGTGTACCATGTGGGCCTTCTACTTCCAGACGCACATTCACTCCCGCATCGTCACGGTCACTTCTCGAGGTCACCACAAAAACCCTCACCCATGCAGCTGTGTCTTGTCTATTCTGGTCCCTTTATGTTATTTTATGTCGCCAGTCTAACACAAACAAAAAACAAAAACCGAAAACCAAAAAACATGTTCATGGCACTTCTAGGGCCATTGGGTTACAATCAGCTAGAGGTGACTTCTCTTTTTCTTTCAGACTCCGTGCAGGAGAAACATTGTCACTGATGCAGGATTTCTCATGCTTTAGGGAGATATGCCTCTCATCACATAGAAGTACAGAGTCTTATTTGCTTTTACACATCCTGTGAGGAATAAGAATGTAAAACACTTGGATTGCTTGATCTTGAGCCATCTCCTGGGGTAGTGTTTGCACTGAACAGTCCTGAAGGATTAGCCCTAGGCAACACCAACCCTGAGACCACAAGCAGGTTAATGTGAAATTTCCCCAGGTCTGTGTTCCTGAACCAGACTGAACAAACAGGCTTCCATCATTGCCCTTTATGTCCACTATGGTGCATTTGGTGAGATTGTCTGGTACCAGCAGCCTGTGAAGCCCAGCGGCTGCTTTTGCTGTGGATTACAAAGTCTTGTTTGAATCCAGGAGATTCAGATCTTCCGCCAACATCATGATATAGTAACTGAATAACTCTATGACTTGTAGGTGAGAAATGTTGACACTGAACTGTGGAACCGAACCAAATAACATTCTCTCATGTACAGAGGGAATGAGACTGCTTCAGATGTATCTATCCACTATTGCATTTTCCATTAGGAAAATTTTATCTGGTATGCCTCTATGACTCTTCTGAGCAAATAATTTGAACTTGGAGCACATTAATTATATTAAGAAAGAAAATCTAAGCTCCCACATGTATATATGTATACATGTACATATTTACTCAATAAAATGCCCAAGAATTTGAATTTGAAATGTTCTCTAATTTTGACAGGTTACCTTAGGTTCATTAAATAAATTAAATACATTCACCAATTTTAATATCAACGAATTCATCTTCTAAGTTGGCAGTAAGTATATTAAAAATAGAAAATGTTATTATTAGTTTATTATGTAAACATCAAGTAAATATTTCATAATGCCAAAAGCAGCATTAAGCAAAATGAAGCTAACTTGATTCAGATCAAGTTCAGGTCATCTTAAAGTAATTAGTTGTGTGACAGGTGAAAGGTTATTAATTTTTTTTTAGGTTTTAGGAGGGAGATCTCTCTCAATAGTAAATATTCTATCCATGAGTGATTAATAGTAAGCCTAACTTCTTAAAAGAATATTTATTTCTCTGAAACATGATGTCATAAGCCATAGGCCCAAAGTCAAGTTCCATAGCTTTTGGTAATTTGCTTCAGTTCAGAAAGTGGCATTTCTCCAATCCCTAAACAGAGTGATAACAACATACTCAATGCTTCTCTTCCAGGGGTGCAATGAAAATTAAACTATGAAGTGTAAAACTTGAAGTATGATTTTCTAAGGTTCCTGCAGTCTAATTACAACTACTGTATGTAATCAATGAATAATCAAAATAAAGGACAGTGATAGTGTCCTTTATCCTGAAGATTGAACTATATTAAAAATTTACCATTTTTAGTAGAAAAGGGCTATTTATTCATTCCAGGTTAATATAACAGATAAAGGAACTCCTAAATCAAAACCATCACCAGAATTCTACCACAGTTACAAAGAATTCTTCTAAAATTCAAATAAAATGTAGGACTGAGAACGATTCCATAATATGTATGGGGACGGAAGCAGCAGTTATTGAAGCCAAAGTATTCCTATTTCTAATTACGTGACATTCAAATTCTATGGCATAAGGACAAAGAGAAGAAAGTGTATCCTGTGTTTCTCTTCTAAGCTGGGGTTTCTAGGGAGCATTAAGACATACAATATAAAAACCAGGACTCTCAGTACCCTGTTGTATTTCTCAATGAAAGACAATTTGGGCTGTAACAGCTTTCCAAAAATATCACATATGTTGGTGTGCTAAGAGTCTTTAAACTCAAATTTGGATAGATTTTTTTCAAAAAATAGAATTGGTTTTATAGCTATCATGTGATCTTTGAGATTTAATTAAGAATATACGTCAGCTTGTAAAAATTTAAGGGAATTGGCAGGCTGGGGTCTGAGCTTTGTGAAAAGTGTGTACTTAAAGGACATGGAGGAAATTAATTAATTTGGCACAAGAAAATACCCTAAAATGTCAAGTTTTCAATTTTCTTTTCCTAATGATTGAAATTATTATCATTAACTTGTTTTCTTTAAAAAGATTAGACTAGAATTTATTACCCTTTTTTTCTTTATTAAGAAAACAATTA